AAAAATACAACTTTCCTCTAGTTCCTAAATGCTTCCTCCGCCTCCCACTATCATGATCCGAATTCTACCTTGCAAGTCTGGCTAGACTTGATAAGGTTTTTAACTGGGGGAGACTATTACTCTACCTCTGAGCAAGACCTAGTGTTTTGTAAAGTCAGATGGTCTTTGAACGTTGGACCTTTTGCATGAGTGTTAATACAAACACAAACCCAAGTACAATCAATGGCATGCCACCAGTGAAGGTTGACAATGCCCTACCTGTGTATTACATTATCAGTTCTAGACTGAAAGACTGCGGATGGAACCTTGCGTTTTTCCCTTTATCTATGAATCAGAAAAATTTACAGACTGTATGCCGAGTTTCCTTGTTGACCTCACAAGGTGAACCGAAATGACAATGTTAATTCAGAAGCAAGGAACGGCCTGGATTTGCAGTTTTGTGGTTTGTGCAGCTTTGCAGTGTACATGCAGTGATAACAAAATCACTAACTTTCATGGTTTTTGCTTGTGTGTACAGGTTCTACCGCTACCCCTACATTTAAGAGTTATTGAACCTCTACAAGCTTACATTGAAACTGCAACAGAATTGTTGTACTAATTAAAAAAAAAAAACCATATATAGTGAAGCACATTTTTCTGAAGTAAACCAATGGTAAATTTCTCATAGTTCTTGCTGCCTGTTGTAGCAGCATTTGAGGGAGTATCTTTTTATACATTTATATTTGTAACAGATTTAAAAATAAACCAGGTTACAAACCCCCTTGTCTTTTGGGTTGTTTTAAATCTTAAGACATCTACCAAGTTTTAGGTCCAAATTCTGTAGGATAAGTTAAACTTAAATTGTTTCTATTAACCATTATGAGTGTATTTCTTTCTCTTTTTTTATGAGTGTATTTCTGTAAGCACAGTTTTGTTGAAATAAAGTTTAAAAGAATGTGATCTACTTATATAATGAACTATTAGTCATAGAAAGAAACGATGTCCTGATATATGCTACAACATGCATGGACCTTGAACACATTGTGCTCATGACAGAGGTTACATGATTCATTTATATAAAACATTTAGAATAGGCAAATCCACAGAAAGAATATAGGTCAATGTTTAGCAGGAGCTGAAGGCAGGATGGGATGAGAGGAGACTGGTATTGGCTGGGTACAGGGTTTCTTTTTGGGGTGATGGAAATTTCTGAAGAGTAGTAGTGGTGAAGGTTCCTTAATTTTGTGAATATAATAAAAATACTTGAGGAGTTTAAAAGGATGAATTTATGATTTGTAAATTATCTCAAAAAAGCTGTCATCAATTTTCTTTTAAAGGATACTTAATTGTTTGCATTAGGAAAAAACCCTTTTGGACACAAAACTGGTGGAGGCAGAGAGAGTGTTTAAAGGGAGTCCCTGGGTGGTACGAAGTGTTACGACATGTTCGCTGCTAACCAAGACTTGGAAGTTCAAGTCCGGTTAGAGGATCTTTGGAAGAAAGGCTTAGTGATCTCCTTTGGAAAAACCACCCACTGGAAACCCTACGGAGCAAAGTTATACTCTGACACTCACGCGGCCAACAGGACTTGAAGTCAACTCAAGGGCAACTGGTGGCTGGATAGTATTAACCACTGCTAAGAGAAAAACACAGAAGGCTTTCCTCCTTCCACGGAAACTTCTTGTACTATGCTTATTTACTCATCAAGCACCATATACACCCATGAATGTGAATGCTATGAATTTCTATACTCTCATTAGATTTCCACCATGATCTCTGTACTTCAGAGTCAAAATCAATCTATCTCAACTAAAAGAGGTTAGAAGTGTGAATGGTAGGAATTGAAAATGGAACACATTTTTTAAGGACAACAGAGATATATTATTTGAGGAAATGCTCATTACTAGGAATTCTTCCTGTGCTTCGCGTGTTATTTGCTCACACCCTATCCATGTACATTGTCCTATAAATAAAAGTTATTTCAAATTTTTACACCCATGAACAAGTAAATTTTATTTAAAATTCAAATTCTAACATAGTGCAAAATGTTAAATGAATTCACAGCCATCATTGCTGTTCTAATTGCATGCCTTATCTAAAGACTAGAGAAGATTGTGCTAAATTATATGGAACAAACTAGTCTGCGCTGCTTAGGCCATCCATTAACTGCCAGTCAAACTAATAACAGCAATCTCTTTCCTAATTTCCCTGGTGCAGCTGTTTATAGAATGTCTTGGGCGTGTTCACGTCAATGGCTACATAATAACGCAGACATCCACAAATGAAAGCTCCAGCCTTCTGTTTTCGATTTTTCCTACAGACTTTAATATTTCCTTCTACCTTTTAGACTCATCTACTCTGTTAAGCTGCTTTACATAATCAGTAAATAAATTTAATCCCTTTATTGTGGCTTTAAAAGTGTAAAACCTAGATCCTAATGCTCAAATTCCATGAAAAACAACCTCCCTGAAAAAATTCCTTTGTTCTTTCAAAACTGTAAAACTTAAAAAATCTCAAGCAGAGACTAGTGGTTTCTTTATATGCAGCTCACCAGTACTGTCTACATGACATTTACTCAGACTTTTCTGTAATGATCTTTGAAAGTTAAATTAATACAACTGTATCAGTAATAACTAAATCTGAAACTTACCTTTACTAAGCGTGTTATTCTGGCATTTCAATTAATCAATGCAGAAGATACACACTTAAAACTAGATGCTGTTTTTTAAAGAATCCTTGTGTATGCCCACAATTCCCTACTTATAGAAGAACTAAACTTAATGATGTATGCCAATAGTTTCCAAATTTCAGATTATAAGGACTATTAAGAAAATTTTAAGGGAAGCCCAATTTTCCAGGAAAGGATATTATTTTGTGAAGAAAGACTATTTCAAAACTAGAAAGAGAAGAAGAAAATAAATCCAAAAATAAAGGGTATCCTTTTATTAGCAAAGATTTACATTAGGAAAACCTTATGTCAGTTCTCCTTATTTTTCTCATTTTGACAAATACAGTATAGGTTAAAAACTTTGCAAATGCTAGCACCTTACAACCATAAATCTATATTCCATAAACCCAAAAATTATGTAGGTAATCTCTGTGACCATTTTAATTCAGCGATTCTTGAAGTCAACGACTTACAGTTCCTGTCTAAGCCTTCTTATCTTGGCCTTAGCATCCGCCAGTTCCACTGACAGATGCTGTCGACTTTCTGTCCGCTTCATGCCTGGAGAACCACAGGGGGACTGTGCAGAAGCGGAAGCGTGGGGTAGAGAATGCAGACCATCTCGCTCTTCAGAGAGTTCAATTATCGTCTAAGGAATTACAGAAACAAACACAGAGCTGTTCTTAGTATGGTACGTATCTGAGAACTACACAAAGCACCAATGTTCACTAGATCTAGGATTGTACTAGAGGACCAACAAAAAGATGAAGACTCTGCACAAGATGGAGTGACAGAGGCTGCAACAATGGGGTGGGGCAGAAAAACTACACGACACAGGCACAGGCCGGGGCAGGGGCCGTCCTCTAGTGCGCAGCCTCCTGTGAGCTGGGACTGACTCAACAGACCCAACAGCAACAACAAGTATACTCTGATAACAAAACAATTTGTTACTCAATAGCTCAGCCTTGTCACATTTAGCTATTAGTTTAAAAAATTCCATTCAAAAAAAGAAATTCCATTCAACACTTCATGGATGAGCTTAATAACACTAGAACAAATTTAATATTTTCACTCTCAAGTTTTTAAACAAAATAATCAACTGTGATAACTACATCAGATACAAATGTTGGAAAGACATAAAAAACTTGAAACAGAAAAAGAAAATAACCCAAGGCTACTTAAACAAGAGTAATTTACCGAAAATTGTGCTGTCCAGTATGGTATCCAGTAGAACAAGTGAATATTTCATTTTAAATAGTTGAAAATTAATTTCCTATTCTCACTAGCCACATTTTAAGTCCTCAACAGCCATATGTATCCAACTAGCCATTGGATATCACACTGGGCAGTTCAGAAATACTTCCTTTCCATCTTTGTCTAATTGAACAGTATCCCACCAGAACTGTAAGTAAGAATACCACAGGGATGTCATGAGGACCTTAGAGAGCTCTCAAAGATTCGGTCCAATTGTTTAATTCTGCAAGTAATGTGAACAAGTCACAGATCTTGTTTGCCCATGATCACATGCCTAGTTAATAACATGCTAAAAGTCCAGGCCAATCTCTTGACTGCTATCTTATGCTCTGTCTTACAAAGTAGTTCCAATGTGCTTCCCATCTTAAACCTCCTGCAAATAAGTAGTTTCCTTTCTTTTTTTCAGACTCTCCAGAGAGCTCAAACCTCTTCTCCTCCCTTCGAACTTTAAGAGTTATTTAAACCAGTATGTACTTTACCCAGTGATATTCCTCCATTCGCCTAATTTCCCTTTGTTTTATTGGTAAATTCTCTTATTCCGTACTAGTTTCTCAGTTTTTATTTCAAATCTCTCAGGCAAACATAAACTGTCTTCTCCTACACCAATTTCAAATGTCCTATTACTCCAGACGGAGTTACAACTTTGGGAGTACATCCTTGTGGTGAAAACCAATTCATCCTCCATTATTTTACTGTCTTCACATTTCCTTTAAACCACCTGCCAGACGATTTCTTTATCCTTAGTCCTAGCAAGGCCTGCCTCATCTCCTGTCTGCAACTGCCTCAGAGACTTCAGGGCTCATGCTGACAGCCACAGAGCCGGCCGGACTCCCAGCAATGCCCGTTCTCTGAACTACTCCACCGCCACTCACTCCGTACTCACGGAAACAAACCTTTCTCCAGAATAAGTACCAGCTCCTGTCTTGTGCCACGCTTCCTTCCTACTGTCACATCCAAGCCAATGTACCCTTGGAGTCTATTTCCCATGCCTGGACCTTCCATCGCTCAATCTCGCTCCGTTTTCCCCCAGGAAACTTTTCCTGAAGACTGGAGTTCTTAGCTTGGAACAACAAATAAGTCCTTTAAATGTCACTCCTAACTTGGATTTACACTGCCAGGCCATTCTGTTAGGGCTCACTCCTTAGTCACCTCCCAGCTAAGGAATTTTTCAACACAATTTCATCTAATACTGTATCTACATTAGATATAGTAATGTCTGCTTTAGATGAGAAAACAGAAAATTCAAGCAAATTAAGGAGTAAACGTTACATGACTGAGAGTACCAGAATTCAAATTCAAATATGGTTCCAAAACTAACTTGTATTTGTTAGTTTTTCTCTCTTCTGAAAGCCAATTATTACACATCCTTCTACTGCGTGTGTATGTGTGTGTGTGGGGGTGGTGGTGGTGGAGTGATTATTTTTCACCCGGTGGTTCAAGATAAAAGCCATGATTTCTCTTTTATTCTTTTCTCCCATCCCATGAAAAATTTAAATTTTTTGCCATCCATACTCAATTAAGCTCTTTCCATTGTCATCAATCCTTTTACTGAAACCTTCTCAATTTCCTTGTAAATGTCCTATGAGGACATTTACTCTAAGCATCTAACTATAAACTGTCATCATCACTTGAAACAAACAATATCTCCTCCAATTTGCCAAAGAAGCAAAACCGCCTGCCATTAACTTCTCTATTCTTACCCATTTGCTTCCAACGTACATTTAGTTTCTAACCTAACCTTTTCATTTCTTCCTTCCTATTAGCCTTTCTCCCACTTTTCAAAGATACATACTTTTTCTATCTTGAAAAAAAAAAATCACATTCCCCTCTAGCTCTTTTCCTGTTTGTTTGTTTGTTTTTCTTTCTCAACAGTGTCCTTGAAGAGTAGCTTCTGTGTTCAGACACACCACTTCATGCTGTCACGGTGTGTGTCCACCCCTAGGTCCCCGTCTGTCAGTATTATCACCACGCTCCACAGTAGCCCAGACGCCTTGTCCTTGAATCAATTCTCATGTGTGTATTTTCTCACTGTCCTAATTATGCTTGATCGTGCGTGCCTTCTAGGTGTCTCTTCTACTTCTTGACTGCAGAACTTCCTTGCCGCCTAGTCCATTACTCTACAGTCGGCAGTCTTGCTGACTCCGAGGCTTGCTTCCTTTCCTTCCATTTCCAGTCCACTCAGCCTACCACAAACAGATACATCTTCCTTAAACATCACTCCTATTAGCTCTTGGCTACAATATTTCTGTTATTTCCTACTACATCAGACCTAAACTTTCCCCAAGCATTTGTTTTCGTCACTTAAGAGATATTGTAACAGTGAATATAGTAATGCTACTGAATCTTACATGTAAACATGGTAAACCTCTTGTTGCATTACCATATAAACACGCACACAACTGATATGATAGATGCCTGAATATGGGATCAAGGGGTTTTCAAAGTTTGTTGGGGAAAAAAAAATCCCTTATAGTACCATTTTCCCCACAAACTTTTTGCAACGCCCTCGTAAAAGTAAATCTAATGAGAAATTAAAATGAAATATTTAGGCTAACTTTTAGAGCTTTATATATGACATGGTCAACTGTTTATATACATTATTCAGCTAACATATAGACCTTTAAAAACATGCTGTATAAAATATATTACTTTAGAAACCTTCCCATTTATGAAGTATTCAGATGCATGTTTAGCACTGATTATCATCTAATTTACTGTTTTAGTCACTTAACAGTCTTCCAGATAGCCATCTCACTTCACAATCACTTGAGATACAGCCGCCACTAGAAACACTTCCCCTAAGTTTTAAACACTCACTTGCTTGACAATCGGACAGCTAGTTCTTTCCTTTTTATCAGAGAAGCAAATATAATTCATGTTTTAAAGATGTGCCCATCTTTGTTTTCACAATGACTTAATATCTTTGCAAAATTATTTCTGACACATAAGCTACAAGGTAATAAACCAAGAATAACATTGTAACCGAGTTCGTTTCTTTGCCCCTCCCCCCTCAGCCTTTACTGAAGTCATCACGTGTCCTCCATAAGCATCAAGACCACCACGGCTGAGTGTGCTTCTGTCACTGAAAATCCTGTGGATGCTGCTCTACTCGACACCGCTGGTGTCGCCACGCACCGCAATCAACTCCACTGCCACCAAGTTCATTTTGGATTTTTTTTGGAGAGGGGGGCGTTTCTTTCTAGCAGAACTACTGCAATGCTACATCACCCTGAGATCTGTGATCACAAATCAATTACAAGGCAGCAGGGCTGTGCAGTTGTCCTCCAGCAGCAACATCCGTTCCTTGAACTGGCCACATCTAGTTCCACCCCACTGCTTAAGCGCCCGTCTTGCTTTCCTTACCCCAACGCCCACTGTACCACTCAGACCGCGCACACAGCCTCACTTTCACTAGAACAGAGCTTTTTCTATTTCACTTCCCTACTGTGCACTAAAATCACATCTGGCACACAGTAAACACTTAATAAAATATTTGTTTAACATGCTAATTAGCATTTGATTTTATGCTAGCTCATATTTTTCTCTGGCAAGTAATAGGGCACTTTTAAAACAAACCAGATACATCCTTTGCTTTTGTAAATCATTTTATTGGGGGATCGTACAACTCTATCACAATCCATACATACATCCGTCGTGTCAAGCACATTTGTACATCTGTTGTCATCATCCTCCTCAAAACATTTTTTCTACTTGAGCCCTTGGTATCAGCTCATTTCTCCCCCATGCCCGTCCCACCTTCCCTTCCCCTCCTGAACCTTTGATAATTTATGTTATTATTTTTTCATGTCTTACACTATCCAATATCTCCCTTTGCCCACTTTTCTATTGTCCACCCCCCAGGGAGGGGGTTATATGTAGATCATTGTAATCAGTTCCCCCTTTCTCCCCACCTTCCCTTCCCCCCTGGTATTGCTACTCTCATTATTGGTTCTGAGGAGTTTATATGTCCTGGATTCCCTGTGTTTCCAGCTCTTATCTGTACCAGTGTACATCCTCTGGTCTACCCAGATTTGTAAGGCAGAACTGGAATCCCGATAGTGGGGAGGGGAGGGGGAGCCACTATCTTTTAATTAAATTAAATTTAATTAAATTTTCCCAAGAACATTTTCCCCCCCAGGGGAGAGTGCGAACACAGTCTCCCACTACCGTAAATTATGCAGTCGAGTTTCCCACATTTGGGGAAATCGCAGGGGTCAGCACATCCGGAGTGCAATGGATAAGCCTCGCCCTGGGAAAACCACCTTCGTGATCATGGTATCTCCCCTGCCAGGTAAGTATTCCAAGAACATGCTTCCTCATATCTACTAAACAATGAACACAAAAAGATACACACACCACTGCTAAGACAAACATTCATGTGACCTAATAATTCTACTTCTGGAGTCCAGGTGGCACAGTGGTTACATAGGCCAGCAGCAAGGTCAGCAATTCAAAACCATCAGCTACCCCCGTTGCACGGAAGAAAGACCAGGCTTTCTTTTCCTGCAGAGTTGGTCTCAGAAGCCCCCAGAGCACTTCTCTCTGTCCTACAAGGTCACTACAAGTTGGAACTGACTCGATGGCAGTGAGTTTCTTTTTAAAATTTACGTGCAAAGTCCATTATTTTAAAAAGAATCAAAGCTGCACTCAGTGTAACCAAAGACCTGGATCAAGAGGGACAAGCGTTAGCTTCAGACCCAGCAAGGTACTTCTTTGAGCTTGGTCTCTCCATCGATCTAGTGGGGTCATTGTGAATATTTAATAAAATGTAATAAAAGTATAGCACAAAACCTCTCATCAGCGAGCATTGATCACAAAACTCAACAAAGCAGCCTCACTGCTGTCAAGCTGCGTGGACTCTCTCGGCAGCAACCCTGTAAGGTTTCCAAGGCTGCAAATCTTTACCGGCCTCCTCTTTCTCCCTCGACAGTGATGACAGAGAGAGCTGGTTTCATTAAAGTCTCTGTTTGACTTTTAATAAAAGTAAGGTTCTAGAAAATGGATAATGCAGTGAAAAGACACTAGCATAGAAAAAGATCGGGTATTTGATATAAAAACCAGAAAACAGATTGAAAAGGAAATGACCTAAGCATCTCAGGATAAATTTGATACAGAAATGCAGGGGCAGATAATTCAATAAACAAGGGAAGCCAAGTGTACATATGCTTATTTACTAATCTGTAGTGAATATTTTATTTGAAGTGTCTCCCTTCCCCCCTCCCCCAATGTGAAACTATTAACTGATTAGTAAGATTAGTACTTAAGTACTATTCTGCACTTACCTTGCGTACTTGGTACTAAGTCTCTATCAGGGGTTATAAATTCAAAGAGAGGCTTTGATTCTGTAGGAAGGTCCTGTGGGGTTGTCACAGATACAGATGCTAGCCTCACCTAGCTGCAGAATCTCTGATAGGTGAAAACATCAAACTGTTGACTACAGATTAGCAAGGAATTGTAAAGTCAATCCATGCTACCTTGCTTTCTGGGAAACCCAAACCATTGGAGAGACGTTTTTCTATTCACCATCTTCCCTTTCTGCCCTATTATTTTTAACTTGATGCTCTAAAATATTTACTTATTTCCTTCTTTTTTAATACCTAAAGAAGAACTAGAAATTTCCATTAGAAAAGAATAAACTTCACGTTGTTTCTTCATAGAGGCATTAAAGTTTTGTTCATAAAAATTTTTTTTCTTTAGAAATTTCTCTATATAAGATTTCCTTGGTCCCAAGAGTAATCATAAAAATTCTCTAGTAGTAAGCTCAAAACTGTCTCTCCTGTATAAATAGAATACTTGATCAGAGCTATACATTCCCTTCAATGCTAGGGCCCTTTGGGTCTGTTAGTAAGAAAATATTACTCACCACCACAAGCACTGAAGTCTAGACTCCTCTACAATTATAAACAGCTTTCAGAGAGCACACGGAAACTTTGGTGCAACTTGACTCTTTTTGAAAGAGCAAGTGAACTGTGCAAATGAGCTTATTAATAATAATTCTTTTTTAAAAATCACACCTCAATATACTGATTACAAAAATTTAAGACCTTTTGTAGGACATTTTATTCAGAACATCTGTTACTCTTCTTTTATTAACACTTACTTTTCTTCTCTCAAATGTGGTAATAAAACTAAGAAATTAACCTTAAGCAAATTCTTACGCTTGAAGGCAATGGTTTTTCCACTTACATCAACTATATTTTCAGCTTCACACTTCTGAACTCTTTCCAGAGCTGTGGAGATGACTTGAAAAACACTCAGGAAAAGAAGTCAGAATAATACTTCAAAGAAAAATGAAAGGAGAAAAGAAAATCTAATCGCATTTTTTTTTTAAAGCTACCAATTTAAGACTTTCATAGTTCCTTTCTGGTTTTGTGTTCTACGGGGGAAAAAAGGGCAAAGCATTGTATTACTTGTTTCTTCAATTCAGAAAAGCTCTCAAAACTACTATTGTCTTTGTTTGAAAAGCAGGTTTTCACATATACTGAAAGAAATTTACAAACCTCTGAATGTTCATCTCTCTCATCTATAAGTCTCTTTAGATGCAATGCCATATTTTTCAAGAGTGGTTCCATGTCTTCCTGGGGCATATCAGTCACTTCCATCCATTGTAAATCGAACACATTTTCCTGATTATGTGTTACCTTTAGAAAAGCAAACAAAAGGGGGCAGCGGGGAGGGAGGGGAAAAATGAGCTGATATCAAGGGCTCAAGCAGAAAGCAAATGTTTTGAGAGTGATGATGGCAACAAATGTACAAATGTGCTTGACACAATGGATGGATGGATGGATTGTGATAGGAGTTGTACGAGCCCCTCCAATAAAATGACTAAAAAAAAGAAAAGCTAACAAAAATAAACAAAAAAAATAGCTAATACTTAATAACTTTTTTCAGTATAATAACATGAACCCCAAATAGGACCACTAAAAACATCTGGAATTAATGATGAAAATACTAAAATGATTTTTCACAAAGTATAATTTTTAAATGAATTGACATTTTCCAGTCAATAAAAAACAATTAATTCAAGGCATTCCTAAGGAAAGTTACACTGATATGCCTGACAACTACATTGACAAAAATCAACTGATCTTTTATTATCATTCTCAATACATTTTATTTCTTAGAGAACATTCAAATAATCTACAAAAGAAAAGCTCTGCATCTTCCCCATCAATAGTCCATATAAAATATCCATTTAAATTAATTGTACTTTAATTTAAAAGTAAAGAGAGAAAAGAATTTTCACTAAAACAATTTTTACAAAAATGGAAAAGTTATACAAGTGAAATATTTATTTCTTGCTTTCCATTTCTCTTGTATGTTTTTCTTTCACAATGATCAAAAACAAAATAAATAATTCAAAGAGTGTTGGGAACTATATTAACAATATTTAGCATCTCTTCAGAATGAAATAAACCACAAAACTAGCATAGCCAAACCAGGGATGCAAACCAGTTCAGCCTGGTTCACTCATGACCGCTAAAGCAGCACTGAAATGGACCTTAGTTTTTAAAATGTAGGTGAATCAAACATTAGTAAGAATGGCAGGAGTTACTGGTCAAAGCCTTGCTAGAGACTTAATTTCCTGCTCCCACTTAGAAAAGAAAGGCTGCTTTCCCACTGCACAGCAAGCAGCCAAGCATCTCAGTCCACGGAGTGAAAAACAATGGTGTCCAGCTCAAAGATGCGCTCGGTGGGCTGGGCCACCCTCCAGTGAATCCAGAGTTAGTTGAATGGATCAACAGAATTTCATTGATATTAAATTGAACTATAAATACATTCATGTTTTGGAACATTCATAAGGAAACTTAAATCTGTGTGATAACTGAAATGAATGTATTTGCTAAGATTGGTTTTAAAAGTGATAAAAGCACCAGACTCCTGAAAGGTCTCATTACACCGCTCATTCTCAGGCTTCACCCCCTGTATGTTTCCCCATTCCAGAACACATTCCGGATCACCCAGATTTTAAAAAGTCAGGCCTGCACCAGTTTACCTGTGTGTGCCGGGACTGACCAGGTCAAAGCCTGAAACAGACACGCAAGAGGGGGAAGCAGCTCCACCCATAAAAACTCTACCAGGAGGCTCCAAAAAGTTTGTGCAAAAACCCTACTGTCTTTTAATGCAAGTGTTCCATGGATGTTTCAAGGTTCCTACCTATCTGGTCAGATACCGCTGTTCACTGTCAGAACACAGTCTTCCAAATAGAAAAAAAGCGAGACACTACACATTTCCACTATATAAAAGGCCTTTTTTCATTTTTCTTAGTTTTCTTTTTAATCAAGATTAAATGCCCAAAGACAAATGGAGAAATATCACTTTTAAAACCAACCGTAGCAAATACATTCAATTATCACACAGATTTAAATTTCCGTATGAATGTTCAAAAACATGAATGTATTTATAGTTCAATTAATATCAGTGAAATTCTGTTAGTTGATCCATTCAAAAAAAATAATTAGGATGACAAAACTAAGGTTATCTTACTGCACTACAGCTTCAAATTGCAGTGTTCCACTTTCCACTTCTTTATTTACTGTAACTGTCACCCTGTGTCAACACACTTCACTCCTCCAATACCTTCTCCTACATCCCTCCAGTTACAGGCTAACAGCGAATCTGCAGTTACCGCTGTGCCATACAAACACAACTCATTCAAGATACTGTCTCTAAAGCCATGGTGCCATCTGCCAAGAGGATCATTTCTATTTAGTCATGACTTGTTCTTCCCTGGTGGTATAGCAGTTATGTATTAGGCTGTGATCTGCAGGTCAGCAGTTCGAACCACCTGTGGCTCTTTGGGAGAAAGATAGTCTTAGAAACCCACATAAGGCAGTTCCTATGGTGTCGCCAAGAGTCAGCACTGACTCCACAACAGTGAGTGCATTTTGAGGTATCCTATGACTTTAAACATTTTGGGAGATAGAGACACCACATACTTAATAAAAATAAAAAGTATATAAAAGTTGTATACAGGTTACCTCTTGAATATGTGCGGCAACTGCTGCTTTTGTATCAAAATCTAATCCTTGAATCCTTTCAATAAATTCTTCCTTTTTTTGACACTAAAAAAAGTGAATACGATGATCATTCACATTTTACAAGACACAGCCCTTAAAAGGTTGTAAAAACTAAAAACTCATTAGGATAAAAATCTTGGCTATGTTTTGAACAGTAGAGTGAGGGTTTGTTTTGCATTGCATCTTAAACAGTCTAACATACTTACCTCTTGAATAGACAGTAATTTAGAAATAGGTATTTTAAAAGGCACTATATTTATGCTGGAAAGCTCTAATGCAAGAAATCATTACGCAACCCAGCTGAGGGCAGTACAATATTATTATACTAACTTTACAAATAGAGAAGTAAAGAATCAAGAACTTGTTTCAGGGAGAACAAGTTACTTGCCAAAAAACACAGAGTGAGTCAGTGGCAGAACTCGGAATACAGCCAAAATGCTCAGGCAGCCCCTGACTATTGCCAAACAACATAGTCTTTCTTCTTGGAGAAAAAAACTTGAAGCAATTTTTACTTTGTGTTTATAATTCATTCTTACATCTTCAGCCTATCAATCTTAATGAAAGAAACCCACTTTTGTGGCCCAGTTAAACATCTACAAGATAATACAAAAAAATATTTTGTTTCTGAAATAATATGAAGTTATCGGGGGTAAAATTTAAGAATGTATATAAAAGTACTCAAGCACTAAGTGGAATAAAGACAGCAAATCTTTATTGTGCAACTTTTTAAAGCTCTATACAAATTCAAAATGCAAACCTAATGTTTTTTCTATAGTCAGTACTAACAGTTTGCCATGCAGCTAAGCCTCTGCTGCCACCAAATCTCTGAAGTTACACAACAATACAATTGCTGGTATCACTGTGTTCTTGCAACTACCACATGAGAGGTGAATACAAAGTAGACAGCACTGCCTTGTCTGCTGACCTGCACCTCATGGGCTGATACTGAGCCACGAGCGAAGACAATGTAATCAAAAGGGAAAGCTGGCTCTTTGACCATTTAGAAACTTAGGAGAGCTGTCTGATAATCTATACATTATATAAAATTCCAACACTATTTCCATCAGCAAGAAAGGCCTTTATCTTATAAAAACATTATTATTATTAAGATGCTATCCTAATGTCTAAAAACTCAATTACTAAGAAAACTTAATTCCTATGAGCAAACGCCAGAGTTTTGGAGGGTGAGGGTGGAGTGAAAATGAGTGCACTTATTATTTGGCAGGTCTAATAAATATTAAGAATATTTCTGACTGTAAATTTTTTGCCTAACCAACCTTTCCTGTTATGTGAACCTCAAATTTATTATCTAATTCTTCTAAATGGTCCACCTACAGTTTTCTCAATAACAATTACACAGTGGCAGGTTTATAAAGACTACTGCTCCCTGCTCAGTCTGAGCTGAGCACACACGTCCCTGTTCTAAGCCCCAAACCACTGCTTCATTCCTGCTCTGTCGTCAGGAGCCCCCCATTAGCACAAGCTCAACACAAATCGATGAGAACTCCTCAACTGTGCATAATATCCACAATTTTGACCAAATATTACCGATATTTAAAGCGTAAAAGTTTGAAAAGTTCTGGCATTATTTTTAATAACGAAGGTAGGCTTTCTTAAAGAACATAGAATACCATACCTAAGACTGTTCAAAGGTAAGAGACACCGTCAAGAAAAAAGAGGAAACAAAAATGATTCACTATACAGTAGTCACTAGTTACATGCGGCTACCGAGTACTGGAAAAGTGGACAGTGCAACAGAGACACTGACATTTAAAATTGTGTTTCATTACGCTGCTATCGTTGGAGGCTGTGCAGTCCATTTCCGACTCCCAGGGACACCATGTACAACAGAGTAAAACACCGCCTGGCTTGTACCATCCTCACAATGATTGTTTGAGCCCCTGGCTGCAGCCACTGAGTCAATTCATCTTGTCCAGGGTCGGCTTCTTTTCTGCTGACCCTTAGCAACCGAGATATGCCTATTTAATCATAATTCATCTAAAAGTAGGACCTCTGGTGATGTGGTGGTCATAAGATCAGTTGCTAACTAAAAGGTTAGGTGTTCAAACCCACCAGCTGCACCATGGGAGGATGAAGTGGCAGGCCTTACCCTGCAGATTACATCCTTGGAAATCTTCTAGGGCAGGTCCATTATGACCCATAGGGTTGCCATGAGACTGAATCAACAACAGTAAGGGGTTACATTTAAACATAAACAGCCACAGGAGGCCGTGGGCTAAACAGCTCTAGAGCACAGAAAAACTCTAGTGTCAAAATAAACATGTCAGTCATCTTCATTCCAGGTAGCTGTGCTGATCTCCTGTGAAGTCTAATTAATCATGAGAAAATTGTTTTTCACTTAAACTCTCTTACCTTCCTATCAAGATTAAAGTATCATGGATACAAAGTCATTTCCAGTTCAATTATAGCAACTGATTCCTAAACAGATCTCTTTGACAGCACAAGAACAGGATATGAAACCTGGGAGACTGGAAAAAGTAAGCTGGGGGTGGGGGGGGGCAGGTGGAGGGGAGCTGTATTTATTTTAAAGTTGTATTCTTGGAAGCCAGAGACATTAAATTCTTAATAAATTCATTTTCAAGTTTTCACTGCCACGTACGAAAGGCCCTCTGGCGCGTGGAGGGAGCAGGCAGCTAGAAGCCAAGCCAAGCCAAGCCCACTGCCATCCATGACATCAGACAGAAGGAACGGCTGCTGAGTTACTTAGGCTGCAAATCTTTATGAGAGCAGACAGTCTCACCTTTCTCCCTCTGAGCAGCTGGTAGGTTTACAGTACAGGTTACCCATCAAATCTGTAACCCGCTATGGCAATAGGTGTTTTTAAGAAAATTACATCCACTACATAACCCTACTTGATTTAATAAAGTGAAATGATGGACACTGTTTATAACATGAACACAAAGGTCATTCGGGTGTAGAACCATCACGGTAGACTATGCAAAACATCCACTGGCAGAGCTGGAAAAGCTAGGGCTGCTAACTCTTCAGTCTGTTAGAAGGAGGTGCATTAAGAAGGGGCTTCAAAAAAGGGGGGGGGGTTTTTCAAGCATTTCATGAGAAAATTCTGTTTTTTGAATTCCATTTTCAATCAATTTTTTGAGGCCCCCTCATATTTCATGCTATCCTTTTTAGCTACCATCTAGAACTCTGTTGTGTGAGTTATAGAACACAGTAAGGTAGGAGTGAAGTGGATTAGATTTCAGTCTTTTGCTGTTCTTACAGCTAGGAATAACAATACTTTGTTTTAAAATATTTTTGAGGTTTTGCCTAGGAAACAAAGGATTATTTTCAAGCTTTGAAAACTAATGAGATTTGTTTTGCCAAATTTTAGTACTTGTGACACACCCCCTTCTAATTTCTACCTTTCTAAATGGAAATGTCTACCTTGTGCCTGGCCTGTACCATCATGTTTGAAAGCAGGCAATTTGTACTACAGGTTTCATATCCCACAGATGGAGAGAAATTTTGCCCTAGGATGTACAACATATACCCATGTTTGATTTAGATAATATTAAATGAGATTTTTGGGGAATGTGATAGGGTAAATATAGTTCTGCACATCAGAAGAAAATAGAGCATGAATTTTTAAAAGTTACATATTGAATTGTATCCCTTCAAAATATCTGTTGAGTCCTGTGTGGATGTGATCGTATTTGGAACTAGGTGGTTTCTTTAGTTATATTAATGAGGCAAGGCCTAACCCTACTCACTTATGAGTCACACAAAGGCCACAATAGACAGAGTGATGCACAGGGAGAAGAGGAAGACAGATGGTGGAGACAGACCCATCTCGGAGGGCTGCTGGCAGCTGCTAGAAGCTGAAATAAAGAGAGGACCTCCACTCCGAAGCACACCATGCAGCAGCTGCCTCGCCTGCTCAACTGTGAGGAAACAAATACCTGTCCAGCAAGAGCACGTATTAATGCTGCAGTAACATCAGCCCTTAAGGGAAGTAACTGGGACAATTTTTAAAATAAAACTTTGAAAAATAAAAAAATAAAACTTTGGAGAAATACTTACCTGAACTGCACAACCCAGTAAAAGTAAAAGCAGCTTTTTAACTTCTTCTGTGCCTTGTTCTGAAATAAAAACAACAACTAAGTACAGCACATTACTCCATTTTAACTCTCTTCCTTGTTAGCCTGGGGGGAAATGTCTTACAGATAATATTCACAACAATGTAACCGAAGAATGAAGCTTCTAAGGAAACACAGTAAGGAATATGAAGCAGCAGATGTGTGAATGTTTGTATATACATCATGGTGGTGGAAACATAAAGTAGACAAGGCTCTCAGTTTTGAAGAGTGGTATAGATTATGCAGGTAGCTTCTGTGTAATGCAATCCTTCCCTTTACATAAATAATTATACTAGGCTACTCCTATAGAATCCTAATTATAAATTCATCTCCTTTCCATAAAGAATTATACTACATTAGTCTACCAAATTAAACACTGCTGAGATAAAGATATGCCATAAACTCAGCCACAATAGTTAACAGGTGTGGCACCTTTTAGGCCTATCAAGGTTTCTAAAATACAGAACTTAAACAATTCACCTAGCCGTGGAACACAAGTGTCTTTCCACTGTGTGAATTCACGGAAGTTGAAAACTTTACTGTCTGCTACAGCGAGGTTAGTAAAATCCAGGCACACGAGCTAGATAAAGCTAACGTAACCAGAGTACATATAGGTCTGTTCAACAGCATTCAACTTGAATTTTCTTAAAGCACAGCTAACTCAAAAGAAGGAACTTCACCATCAGGTCAAGTTGATTCTTTTCAAACATTTTTGAAAATTCTCTTTTCAAACATTTCTTCCTACTTTTCATTAAACAACCAATTTTCTAGCAACGTTGAACGACGCTACCGTTCCACAAATACATACACTCCCCTGCCTTAATTTCTGCTACTACTCTGATCTCACCACTCCCAAGTGAATGGATCACAAGCTGAGGCACCTTCTAACAGCTCGGTGTAGTCTTCCACGGTCTCCAACCGGCACTCAGCAGCCAACTCGAAGCAGAACGAATGGTTCTGTGTTTTATACTCTGTAACATTCTGTACAAGGGGACCTGTTGGCGCAGTGTTTAGTTAAACACCCAGTAACCGCGAGTTCGTTTGAACTATCTGCTGCTCTGTTGCAGAAAAGACCTGCCTACGCCTGTAAAGCTTAAAACCCTAGAAACTTCCTGGAGCAGTTCTAGTCTTACCCATACAGTCATTACGTCAGAACCACCTCGATGGCCCACAGCACACCTGGCATGTACCTCTATTTTGTACTACCTACTACACAGATATGTCCAATAGCCTGCAGGATCACTTACTCAACCCCATGTACTCCAGAGTAAGGGCTACTGCCTCACATCTCTGGTCCCTGTAGCTCCTTCGTGAGTACTTAATAACTGCAGGTAGGATCGAAAACATTTACACCTCAGAGTATTTCTAAAGATTATTTGAACTCCTAATTCATTCCAGCTACTTGCTATCTTCCCCTATAAAAATAGATGCTGCATTTTAGCTTTTATTTGCTTCTTTTGACTAAAGATGGGGAACAAGAGTTGGACAAGGGGCATCAGATTCAGGTACCCACAGCCTAGTCCATCTCTGAGATTGTTAGATGGCTGCTAATTTCCATAACTGGTCAAAACTCTGAATGTGTCACATTTAAAAGCTGTTAAATAACAAATCTTTTCCCCAAACACTTTTATTGGCATATAATTCACATATCATACAATTCAATAGGTTCAATCAGATTAAGAAGTTATACAATCATCACCAAAAGTTTTACATTTTTTCTTCCATTCATTGTTATTAGCTCACTATTTCCCCTCAACCTCTCCTGTCACACCCCCAAGTAACCATTAATCCAGTTAACTAAAGAAAATAATTTAACTGACCCAAGTAATGGCTTCTCATTTTTAATAATATATAATATTACTAAATAATGTTAAAATTATTTAGTATAAATTAAAATATATAAATCAGTTAAACCTTAAATTAAAACAATTTTCACAATGGTAGGTAGTAGTATATAAAAAGAATCCTGGAAACTGAAAATTATTGATTTTAATGAAAAGTTATTCCTTTATTATCACCTTTAAGATTCATTACAGAGATGTATCCATTTGGTACAGCAAGAAACATTACATGATCTAAACTATGTATCTGATCCCACCTACAATTTATTAGTCAACTCTTTTCTCTATAACATGGAAAATCATCTCCAACCTCCCCTTTAGAGTTGTGAAAAACAATTAATCAACATAAATGTGTGCTCTTCTTAAACATTCTATACCTAACTCACTTAGCAATGATCTCATTACAACACTCTGCATTTACAACAGTAAATCTACTACCTGACTATTCTGTAGATCACGATATATAACTGGCAAAACACACCAAGGTGCAAGGTGAGGAGCAACACTGGCTGTAAGGGTTCGGGTTCTTTGTTAACTTGCTTGGCCCTGATCCTCAGTGGTTTGGCAGTTATATAATGATATGATTTGGCAGTTATTAAGTGGTGTAGTCATCCTCCACCTTAGGATTTGATAACATCATTCTCCACTTTTGCATAAAGTCAAATTTCACATTGGCAACAGCCTGGTCTTTGAAGCCTAACCATCTCTATGCAAAAGGGGGTGTAGTATATTACATAACAATAAGACATTGTTACTACCTTATGACTATTTTAATACTTACCAGAGAAGGGATTTTTGCCGATGATTAAGACATTTGGCAACGACATCATGATCAACTGCTGTAAATTATCCTGTAAAAAGACACTCATGGTTTTTATATGGTAAATGTTCTCTGTCATAACTATAAATTAGTTATAACTAAATTATAATTATAGGTTATACTTTAATGATTGTGCACTTTTGTGTGCGTCTTTGTAGATACACCTCACTTCAACAGAAGGACTGTACATAAAGGGGGAAAAGATATGAGCTTAAGTCTATTGTAACTTTAAACACATTAAATAACAAAAACTGCAGTATCAAACAAATTTAAATAATGTATAAAATGACCTCAAAAATGTGTCCACCTTGAATATCATATTTAATATTTGACATCTGAGTTCTATGTGCCTCACTTAAGATCTCAAACAAATATCCATACTGTTCTTTTTTGTTATTCTGTCCTGAAGAAACTAAAACATGTCTACTGATACTAAAACTAAGAGTTACTTTATGAGAAATCCCATCTTATGAGCATCTCGTGAAAGTGAGCTCTTCTACAGTAAATGATGACGTCACTACTCTGTGTACACTAGGAGCCTTGGTGGCATAGTGGGTTACGTGTTGGGTTGGCCACTGCAAGGCCAGCAGTTCAAACCACGTGATCTTTGGATGAATGGTCAGATTTATAGGTTCAGAAACACAAAGGGTTCTGTCCCATAGTGTAGTTATGAGTAAGAATCCACTTGACGGCAGTGAGTTACAGAGATCTATAATAGATATTTTATCTCCTTAAATACTATCATACTTTTAATGATGAGAATTTATGTACATTCTGATACTATAGGATGAATAACAAATAACAATGCTTTCAAATTATTCATTTGGGTATTACATAAAATATGCACCTTTTGTTTGTACCACCTCATCCCTGAGGAAATAAAGGAGATCTCTCTCTCTCCCTCTTTCTCTCTGCCATTACAACCACCGGCTAGAGAGAGTCTAGAATCAATTAGACTACAAGATTGATGGTTTCCATGAGATATTACAGAATCTTTCTAAGATTATAGCAATAAGTAATAGTTTCTTTATCATTTGACTTCAACTATATGTTCATATATATTTTAGAACAAGCAACTATTTTTTTAAAATCTTTTTTTTAATACTATGAAAAGGAAACGTGTGCTGCTGTTTAAAGTTGTCTAATTGTAGATCCACTGAAGCATATTCCAGTAGCCAAGGATGACATGATACCATGTGCCAGTTAGATTTAACCATATATTTAAAATTCCTTATGGTAACATATACAAATTTTAAAACATGCTTTCACTCAGTAGTTTTTTAAAACCACCAGTACGCAGCTGATTATGACTCAGTGGTCTTATAACTAACTAACTACACAGGACAGAGTAGAATTGTTCCTTAGGCTTTCTGAGACTTCTCCTGATATCTTTTATTCTTTTAAAGATGTCATACGTAGGCAGACAGACATGTGTGAAGATAAGGAGCCCTGATGGCACAGAATTTATGCATTCGACTGCTAACTGCAAGGTCACCAGTTTGAAACCACCAGGCATTCTCCAGGAAAAAACAGGGTTCTCTACTCACATAAAGAGTTAGTATCAAAAAAAAAAAAAAAAAGAGTTAGTATCACATCAGACAAGGACACAGAACAGGGGATCAAAAAGCCAAGCACAAATTGAAATTTCTAGAGATATACCTGATTAAAAAAA